CGGCCCCCGTTGCTGCGCCAACAACGACGGCGGCGAGACGTACGCCGCTCAAGCATGAGGACACGAGGACAAAAGTGAACATGGCAGTCGCGGCCAACCAGGACCTCGTCGTAGACACCGACGACGACGACACTGAAGCTGGTGCGGCATATGAGCCATCCCCTGTCAAGAAACCGAAGGTTACGGCCCAACGCACGAAGGCCGCGACGCGTCAGGCGAAAGGGTTAGAAGCTCCACCAGCAGCGGCGGAGGTCAAATCAGCCTTCCGACGCACCAACGACGGTCGATGCTTCGCATGTGGCGCTCTCGGCCACATTGCAGCTTACTGCACAGACCCCGAAGCTCGCAAGCGCCACGAGGAGTACTTGGCCAGGCGAAATCTGCGGCACAAGCACGAAAACGAAGACCGGGCGGCGTAGGGGGAATACGACGCTCTGCAATGAGAGAAACTCGCCAGAAGCAAGCGGCAGTGATGGAGGGTGACGACACGACGAAGGCGAACATACCGACGGTCCCGGTGACGGTGGTCGACGACAAGGACGTGATTATGAATAGCATCCCAGTACCGTCGAACGGCAAGAGCAGGACAGCAGTACGAGCGGTCATTGCTCGTTTGAAGGATGAGCTCGCTTCCCGGGATGGAGAGCGAGCGGGACGGTACGTTAGTACGACGCGGCCGGCGATGGCAGCGCGACGCTATGCAAACTCTCCCAGTGAAGGTGGCGGTGACGATGACCCAGGCGACGGCTTTAGCCCAGGTCGGGGCGAAGTGGCGCAGTGCGCGGCAGTGGAAGTGACGACGATGGCGAACGGCGGCCACCTGAGGTGTGCACGGTCAGGTGAGGAAGGCGGCGTAGCGACCAGCGACGTGCCCTCAAGTGAGGAAAGCGTCACGGTGCCGGCAAAGTCGACGGCGTCGTGCGGCGTGGCGTCGGGAGAGTTGTCGATTCACGCGTTGGGTGAAGAGCTCACGGACGAAGAGTTTGCCAAATTCGGCAGCGTGGGCAAAGTGCGGACGGCGGTGAAACGATCGCGGCGTGCGGATAAAGTGCGTCGTGACGAAGTGGACCGCGAAGTGGCGGTCCTGGACGATGGCCAGCGCGTGCGACGACAGCAGTAGTGTGACGCGGCGCGGCGTGAGCTTAACCAGCGCCGACAGGAGCGCTATGGTCAAGAACGACGAGCAATTAACGGTGCCCAAGTCAAGTGGGTGCAGCGGGGGCGCGTGGAGACAGTGTCAGGTGTCTGTAACGTTGTGGAGGCTAGTGATGGGCTTCCCAAAGCCACCATGCTGGTTGATGGCAAACGTCAAGCCGTCAAGATCGACAGTGGTGCGAGATTCACGGTTGCAGGCACAGACTGGATGCTGAGAGGTGAAAGGGTAAACATCAAGTCCCCGGTGGACTTCATTGAAGGAATAGGCGGCTTCCTGTTGGACGTCGTGGGAGTCTGGAGGTTCTCCATGAAGAACGTGTTCGGCCAGTGGGTGACGCTTGACGCCTGCATCATCGACGGGTGCAGTCACGAGTTTCTGATTGGCGTTGATTTTCTAGAGCACCGACAAGCAAATATCGACTTCAAGAAGAATGAAGTTCGGTACGACGTTCAAGGCGAACGAGTGATCATTCCATTTCGGACGACTGACACGCACGACGGCGTTGCCAAGGCGGCGGTGCGGTTGGTAAATGCGGCGAAGTGCAACCTGTTGCAGTAACAGTAGAAGCTCCTGATGGTGAAGTAGGAGTGTTCCTACCCACAGGTGACTTTGGTTCAGTCCTGACAGCGGCGGCTGTTACGACTGAGCATGACGGTAAGGCACTTGTGCCGGTTATTAACACGCATGGTGGGCGTGTTCGACTCCCGAGCAAGCAGGAATTGGGTGTTTGGGTCCCTGTGGACGCAGACATCACAATGCTCAAGATGCACGACGAGATGAATAACGAGAGGTTGCACGAGTGGATAAAAAACTCGGCGAAGACGAGACCCCCTTAGACGATGAAGAAGATGTTAACGTGGGTACGACAGACCTGAAAGCGCGTGTCTTGGTTCTTAAATTGTTGAGGGCCTACCGTAAGTTGATTCGCAGCGATAGCTGCTGTCCACCAGCCACTACGTTGAGGGTGGAGCACCACATTAACACTGGAGATGTTGTCCCCATCATGCTACGACGAAGACGACAGGCCCAGACTGAGGACTCCATCATTGACGAGAACGTGGACTCTATGCTGGAAGCTGGCGTGATTGAGCATGGCAATGGTGCGTGGGGCTTCCCCGTGGTGCTGGTGCAGAAGCGCGATGGTTCGGTGCGCTTCTGTATAGACTATCAAGCACTAAATGCAGTGACGAAGAAAGACGTCTATTCACTGCCACGAATTGACGAAACTCTCGAGTCTCTTGGTGGGGCACGGCTATTTACGACTTTGGATTTACGTGCGGGTTACTGGCAAGTGCGTGTTGCTGAGTGTGATCGGGACAAGACCGCCTTCATTACGAAGCGTGGACTCTTCAGGTTCCGGCGTATGCCGTTTGGATTGTCGAATGCGCCAGCAACGTTTCAACGCCTGATGAATGGTGTTCTTAGAGGACTGACGTGGACCAGTTGTCTAGTGTACCTCGATGACATTATTGTCTTCTCGAGAGGAGGTATTGAAGAGCATGTGGTGACGGCCTGTCACGTCGCTGAGGAAGAACGCGACCAAGCCTCTGCCGACCTACTCGCCCTGCGGTCTCAAGTCGCAGGTTTAATCTCCTTGGTGCAGCCTGCTCCGGTCGCTCTTGCCGCGGCTGATGTTCCTGCCGCCGATCCGCCTTCGGTGAGTGATCGCCCACAGGTCGGAGCCAGCCGCAAACGTCGTTCCGTTCAAGATCCTAGCGACGCCTCGCCCCCTCCACGCTCCAAGCCTCGACACGAGTCTCCTCGCTCCAACGGCGTTCCTTCGGAGCTCGATCTCTCCGGTGTCCAAGACGACGCGACTGTCGGTGCGGATTCTCCGGGACATCATGGCGCGAGCACTCTCCGGGGTTTACGGCCATCCGACCGTGATGGTGTCGGCCAGTCACCTTCCGGTCCGTCCTTAAATCGTCTCCAACGTGGCGATGCTCCGTCCGACCCCGCTGATCCTCTCCGTGATGCCGACTCGGAAAGTGACGATTCCGTGATGTGCGCCCTGTCTGGTCGCCACACTTCGTCGCCTCTTCCTGCTTCGTCTGACCTATCCGGTACCGCCTGTGACCGTCCGATCGAGCTAGACGCAGATGACGCGGATGATGGCGACGCTGGTGCCGAGCAGGCTAGGGGGCCTGTTCGTGGTGGCAGTGTCCCTGATTCTGCCGCTGTTGATGCCAGTAGTGTCCCCAAGTTGGTGCCTCGCAACGAGTTGCTCTCCCCTGCTGCCTATGCCCAGTTGTCCCCGACCTGTGTTGACCGTGCACACTGGGTTCCAGGTTACCACGCTCGTGTAATCTTTTCTGTGGCTGACGCAGCTCCCTGGCCCCTGTTGGATGTCTCGCGAATCAGCGTTCTTGAACTTGACGTTGCGAAGCTGTTCAGCCGATTCTCAAAGCCTCCTAACTAGCTATTTCCGAAGCCAGAGCCAGTGTCTGACGACTCCGATTGGGACGCTGCACTCTTGGACGAGGGGAACGTTTCGGTAGTTTACGCCTCCACGCAATGGGGAGTTCTTGCGAAGCCAGTGACGCCCATCTCCTTCGAGAGGGACAGTCCTCCTTTCCAGATCTTGTCTCGGAAATTAGAAGCGTTGCAGACGAAGCATCGCCAGGCGGCGTGGGAGTCCACCCATTCTTTTCCCATCTCGGAAGATCTACGACGGGCCGTCAAGTACTTCGCAATTCTCTACGCGGAGCGCAGGCAGCGCCGGTCGCGTTTTGGTGCTGCCTGGAAAAGCTTTCTCAAGTTCGTGTTGCTGAGCATCGTGGCTGGACACTGCGACCTCGACATTCTCATAGATCCTGTCTTCCTCCATTTTCCACGCCCTGGCGAGCGCCCGAAATGGTATCCTGGGCTACACTGCACTCCACGCCCGCGAACCTGTTTCAAGCTCTTCGTGACGCCGACCGCCAAGACCCCTGGCGCAACCAGTACCGCCACCCTATTGAAGATCACTCCGGTTCCGTCTTGAGGGCAAGTTCATCCCTCAAGAGTAGCTTCGGTGTCCGGTAAGCTGATCAACATTGTTGGCGCCTTGCGTCTCTCAGCCACACTAGTCTTGACCTTGTTCGTACCATGTGCGTTGCGCTAGTTCTTTCTCTGCTTTGAGGCTAACCTCTCTTGCTTTTGCAATTGCACATGCGCTTGTGTCAACGTCTGGCTGATCGCATCGATGAAGCTTTACTTCCTGCACGGTTTCTCGCCCTCGACACTCCTGTTGCACATCGTCCTACACGGCCGTGGCCACACTTTTCGCGCGGTTGTCGGCTCTCTGCTTCAGCTCTTTTGCCCCCATGTCTGGACTCTGTTTTCTGGTTCTTCGATCGTCGGCTCGATTATCCTATTCCGATCGTCGATCTTGATCATCAGTCCCGATCATCAGCTTCGATCATCGATCTTGATTATCCAGTTTCGATCATCGATTTCGCTCATCAGCTTCGATCATCGATCGTCAGTTTCGATCATCGATCTTGATCATCCAGTTTCGATCATCGATTTCGCTCATCAGCTTCGATCATCGATCGTCAGTTTCGATCATCGATCTTTATCATCGATCCCGATCCTCAGTTTCGATCGTCGATCTTAATCATCCAGTTTCGATCATCGATTTCGATCATCCAGTCTCGATCACCAGTCTCGATCATCGATCTTGGACATCGATCTTGATCCATCCATCTGGGTACGTAATGCCATCCATCACTTGGGTTTCCCTTCTAACTTTCGATGTTCCCTTCTCTTGTCCCGGTCGTTGCCAGATGTCTTTACGCATCATACAAATACCTATCCACCCAGTGTGTGGCCACCCCACACGCTATCTCCGCCCGTCGGTGACTTACTCAACGTTCATCCCTTCTTCGTGTGATTGCATCACGTTGAAGCGGTTGCGGCTGGTACGTCCGCCTTCATACTCGTACAACAGAGCGGCGCAATTGAGGTCGGCTTGATCCACCCATATCGGTTGGTCATAGCCTTTCCAATAGACCTGGAATTCTCGGTGCACCCGCCCATATCGGGTGCGTGTCCCTGACCGCACGTCCGCGATCCTTTCCACCTCGAATTCGTCTTCATCCAGCGGAGTGTCCCAGCTGTCGTCCGGCAGCAGTTCTTCGTCGAAGTCCACCCGATCGTCGTCTTCGATGTTCAACACAACCTTCGGCCGATCAGGGAATGGTTGTACTGGCTTCAGCTTCGACAGATGCACTATCGGGAAGATCCGATACACTGAGCCTGCAGTCTCGAGACGAGCTGCGTGATTGCCGATCAGCTCTGTGACGCGGAACGGTCCATGCCACTTGTCCACGAGTTTGCGGGCGTAGCCTTCCTTGACGCGGTCTAGGTAAAGCCATACCTGTGTGCCTTCCTCAATCCGGTGTGGTCTAACGTTTCCATTGCGCTGGTCAGCCCTGGACTTGATTGCATCCCGTAGGGTCTCGTTCACAGTTTCACTGGCTCTGCGGTATTGACCCTGTATGTGGTACCTCCATCTCCATGCATCGCAATCGCGGCGGCGCGTCGATCCCACCGAGACAACTGTTTCAAGTGTCGACCGCGGGTCCCATCCATGGACTAGGAAGAACGACGTTTCTCCTCTCACTCGATCATGTGGCGTATTCAACGCGAACGTCAGCCGCTCTGCATAGTCGTCCCAATCTTGTTGGTTGACGTCTGCGACGTATTCTTCAGGGCTCGTGTCAGGGTTTGCACCGTGCGCTCGGCTTTGCCGTTCCCTTGTGGACGGTAAGCCATCGTCGCGCTCTGTCTCATTTTCACGATCCGGTTGAAGGCACGGAAGAAGTCCGACATAAAGCCAGGATCCCGATCATGTCTGATGACTTCGCTTGCGCCGAAACGACGGAAGGCGCATTCCTCGTAATTCTCAGCCACTGCCTGCGCCTCTCTCGACGGACCAGCCTTGGCTATTACGTAACCGGTGAACAAGTCGGCCCAAATCAGCAGTTCGGTTTTTCCTTTGAACGACTTTGGCAACGATGGGATGTGGTCCATGGAGATCACCTGGAAGGGATATGTACCCTGGATATTTCCTGGTGATTCTCCTTGGCCCGTTGGCTTTCCTTTCCCGGTTTCGCAATCGGTGCATTCCCCCACGTAACGTTGTACACTGCGATACAGCCCACGCCAGTGAAAGTTCGCTTGGGTCCTCCGGTATGTCCTTCCAACGCCTTGATGACCTCCCTCAAGACTAGCATGATAGTGATGAAGGAAGTCTCGCTGTAGGCTGTCGGATATCACAATCCTGACGACACCGTCGCGGTCTTCGCCTCGTTGCCGTGTCTTGGGGCAGAAGAAGAGTAGCCCGTTCTTGTCTACTTCGTAATTCGCGTCTATCTTCGAGCATGCATTCGCCTCTTCTGCTGTCAAGCCATTAACTTCTCCGTCCAGGTACTTCTTCAGATCCGCAATCCACTTCTCTTCATCCTGAGCTTGCCTAATCCTCTGACACCGTATGCGCTGTATGATAGATTCTTCCATCGCTTTCGGTGTGCGTCGTTGTCTCTCAGCGGCTCGCGTGATTGCGTTTACGCTGACGACTGTCTCGATCAGCTTTGGCTTCAGTATTTCGCCCAGTCGGTTGAGGGATGGCGATCGTCCTCTGAGGTGACTATTTCGCCTTTATCTCGTTGCAGTGCAGCACTTGCCAACTCGTCCGCACTCTGATTCCATTCACGCTTCACGTGGAGGAAATCGTGCTTCGGCCACGAACGTAGTCGGTTCAACGCCCTCTGTCGGAGCAGTTGCAGTCCTGGTGCTTTTGCACTCCATCTCACCCTGCATCTGACGAATAACCAAGTTCGAGTCTCCACATATTACGACGCGCCCCCTGTCCAAGGTCGAGAGCAGATCGAATCCAAGAATCAGTCCACGATATTCCGCCTCGTTCACTGTCAAGTCCAGCATGTAAACCGACATGGCTTCCGCCACCGTCCACTCCGGGAGCTTCCACACGACTGCACTATACGCACCGCCGCTGTGCTTCACCCGCGCAGATCCGTCGAAACTTACCACCAAGAGGTTCTCGTCTGGTTCGATCGTTGGTGAAGGCATGGCGATCATTTTCCGTGGCTGTTTCTTGGGTGCTATCGCGACTAGGGCTTTGTCGTGTTGGGAATCCACGATTGTACCCCTCCCGCCACTCACAACAATTCGTCAGCTCCGCAAAGAGCTGACGACGAGCGGGATCAAAGGACTATAACTCGATAGTCCTTGGTCCGATCCCTTCCACTCTGCACTGGTAAGAGGTGTAAGTCGTAGGTCGATGACACGAAGTGATTTGGAATTTCCCATGGGAACAGGAATTTGTATGGAACTGGGAATTAGGTAATGGATAC